TCAGGGGACAGGGTGCGGGTGGGTTGGATGGGTTGGGGTTTCTGTGGGGGGCAGTCGGAGGGGGTGGATGGTGGCAGGGTGGGGCTACCCTCCCTGTGGACTGTCCTATTTTTTGAATGTTAAAATATGGAATCCCTACCCTTCAGAGTGCAGCTCTCCATTCATAGCAGGCTGCAGCATGAGGTCTCAGCTACTTCACTCCCTCCCCCTCTTTCCTGTTGGTAGTGGCCAAGGGAATGCTGGGAAATGTAGTTCTTTCCCTGCTCCAGGGCTGGCTCCATAGGCAGGGAGCTAACCAAGGAACTACAGCTCCCAGGGCCCCCTGTTGGTTCTCAGCTCCCATGCTGGATCCCTGCCGCTCCTGCAAATGGGCTGCCCCAAGCACGTGCTTGTTTTGCTGGTGCCTGGAGCTGCCTGTGCTTCCATTGAACATAAAAGAGAATACTTAACCAAAGAAATTGTTCAGGTTTTTTTTTCCACATAGGTTAGTTCAACACCAAATAATAGCTTCTAGTCATTGTGGTTCTGGTAATTCTTGCCTACTTGGGTATCATTCCCAGAAAGGGAAAGTGGAATCAGTTATGGAAATGTCTTGTCAGTGTCACTGTCTCATCATGTTGGTGCAATATATTTCCTAGTCATTTCCTTTTCCAATTAATTCTCCTGTTTACAGTTCCCCCAAGAAGGTTCTTAGACACACTGACTTTGTGCTTAGCAAACTCTACCCTGTACCACTTGTGGCAGTATCCTTCAATAGTTTTAAAATGAACTTCATTATAGAAAAGTTCAATTGTTGTTTATTGGGAGCGCTGCAAAGCACTGTGTGTGATTTTAGAAATATATAAATCCTGTGATAGTGTTGTACTAAAGAACAGATAAGTATCACATCATCTCCTCACCCAGTCACAGTTACTTCCCACATCTGACTCTTCAGAGTGGTAGCTACTTCTCATTTTTATAAGAAAAACTACCTTGCTTCTCTCCCCTCCACCCACCCCCAACTACTGTGTATTCAGTCTTCACACATCAATGACTGTTGTCAAACCTGTCAACTTAATTGTTTGGGATTATTTTGCATGGCAGTATTACTGTCTTGCAGTGGGCTGGAAAAGCAGCATTATTCCTTCTATTTTTTTTTTGACATTTTTCCTTTAAAAAAAAAAAGGAAAAAATGTACCTAACATTCCTCCCAGCTTTTGAATACTTCCATTGTCATTTAACAACCAGCACTTAGGTTACTTAATTGGACACTATTTCTTTTAAAAGCATTAAAAGTGAGTTCCATGCAATTTGAATTACATGTGCAATTATGCAGCACTTTGCCTGTTCTTTAAAAATTAAAGAAATAGTCACACTATTAAATAAAGGCTGAAGTCTAACATTTATTATCTGATATTTGCCTTTGAAACTCAAAATAATATTTGAGAATAGTTGCACGTGTCTGTTGTCTGTTGCTATATAAGTACATAATGTATAGGGTCTACAGTGAATTAACTCTGACCTTTGCTCGCCGAACCTGACCAATCTTGGTTGAGTGCATTATTATCAAAAGAACCTAATGTAGAATACATAAAGACATAATCAAAAGAACCTAATGTAGAAGACATAATTTAACAGGGGTAGTGAGTGGAAAAGGCTGCTAATCTTTCTCACACCTTCTTTCTCACTAATTTAACTAATTTAACTGATCTTGCCCCATTAAAGTCAATGGGAGCTTTGCCATTGACTTCCTGGAATGGAGGATCAAGCCCTTGTAACTTAAGCAAGAGAAGCTAGCTTGTGCCCTGTCTTCCCACATACACAGCAGATTTCCCCTTTGTGAACTCTTCTTTGTTTCATAAGGAGGTCAGGACAGATTCTAGCTGCATTAAGCTTCTGCTGGGTGCAGTAGAGAGTGGGGAGCTAATCAGAAAGCTGGTTATGGCTCTCGGATTCTCTGCCTTGTCGTGGGTTTTGCTGCTGTAATGTGCACCAGCTTGCAGCTTTTAAAAAATCATGCACCGCGTCAGGATTCCCAGCACATATTGCATTCCAACCACACCCATTCCCTATCCCTTTTGCCCCCACCAGGGCAGAGATGTTATAGGGTCAAGCTTTATTGACTGTATCTCTGTCAGGAATTTCCACACTTCAGCGGAATACACAGCTACTCAGTCTCTTCTAAGACCATTGAAAGGGAGTGTTGTGGGGGCAGACAATCTGCTCCAATATATTTTTCAGTTGCTCATGTCTATGCAGCTGCATACAGAAAGCTGCATTTTGAACATGTGGCTAATTACACCGAAAGGGGGCTAAAGCGATATCTCAAGGCCAAATACATCATGGAAAGAAAAAATAGCTTTTATGAAATTGTCAATGGATTGCCTAAAAGCAGGGACATGCACAGAAATAAAAATGTGGCTGCTTTTGGAGGGGCACTTTCTGTGCCCCCCTGCTGCCCCAGTGGAGCTCGCTCTCCCCCTGCAGCTGGAGGAGTTCTGTGCCCCACCCCAGCTGATGGGGGTTCATCCATTTTAGAATGTGTGACTTGTCTGGATGGTTGAGTCACTGAAGAATTACCAACAAAGATCAACAACCTACAGGGGTTGCCGGGTGCGGAAAAGATTGCAGCACCACATCCAGACAACAGGAGGCACTGAAAAGAGGTGAGTGCCCCATCACAGTCTACTGCTTAGTGGGTGAGTAGAGCTAATAATGCATGACACCAAGAAGGATGAAGTGTTTAATGCCATTTTGCTTTAGTTTTCTCTTAAAAAAAAAAGGACAATTATGACTAGATACTAAAAATAATCAATATTAACAACAAGGGGGAAGGAACACATGCCAGAATAGAAAAAGAACAGGTTGAAGAATATTTAGATAATTTAGAGGTATTCAAGTCAGCAGGGCCTGATGAAATTCAACATAGGATACCCGAGGAACTGGCTGAAACAATCTCAGAACCATTAGCAATTATCTTTAAGAACTCTGGAGGACAGGTGCCAAAGGACTGGGGAAGGGCAAAGATTGTTCCCCTTTTTAAGGTAGGTATTAAGAAGACTCAGGGAATTATAGACCCATCCACCTAACTTTGATAACTGGAAATATACTAAAACAAATGCTTAAGCAATCCATTTGTAAGCATCTAGAGGATAATAGGGTAATAAGTAATAGCTAACATGGATTTGTCAAGAACAAATCTTACCAGACCAATCAAACTTTATTTGACAGGGTTACTGGCCTAGTAGATGGGGAGAAGCTGTAGACATTATAATATTGATTTTAATAATGCTTTTAACATAGCCCCACATGACAGTCTCATAAACAAACTAGGGAGATGTCTAGATAAAATTATAAGGTGAGTGCACAACTAGTTGAAAGGCTGTATTCTTCAGAGTAATTATCAATGGTTCATTGTCAAATTTTGGGGGAGGATGCATGTAGTGGGGTTCAGCAGGGATCTGTCCTGAGTTTGGTACTATTCAATATTTTCATTAATGCCCTGGGTAATGGAAAGTAAGCTTATAAAATTTGCAGTTGACACCAAACTGGGAGGGGTTGCAAGCACTTTGGAGGACAGAATTAGAATTCTAAATGACCTTGACAAATTAGAGAAGTGGTCTGAAATCAACAAGATGAAATTGAATAAAGGCAAGTGCAAGGTACTTTGCTTAGGAAGGAAAAATCAAATGCACAGCTCCAAAATGTGGAATAATTGGCTAGGTGGCTGTACTGCTGAAAAGGACCTGGGGGTTCTCATGCATCACAAATTGAATATGAGCCAACAATGTGATCCAGTTGTAAAAAAGGCTAATTTCATTCTGGGGTGCATTAACAGGAGTGTTCTAAGTAAGACACTGGAAATAACTGTCCTCTCTACTCTGCAGGAAGCCTCAGCTGCATTACTGTGTCTAGTTCTTTGTGCCACACTTTTGGAAAGATGTGGGCAAACTGGAGAGAATCCAAAGGAGAGCAACAAAAATGATACCAGTTTTATAAAACCTGACTTATGAGCTAGGGTTAAAAAAAATTTTTTTTTTTAAAAAGGTGTGTTTTAGTTTTGAGAAAAGAAGACTGAGGTGGGGACCTGATACATTTTCAAAGATGTTAAGGGCTGTTATAAATGCAGTGTGATCAGTGGGCTTGGAAACAAGTGAAGGTAGGACAAGGGGCTTAATCTGCAGCAAGGGAGATTTAGGTTAGATATTAGGGAAAACTTAAAAACAATAAGGACTGTTAACCACTGCAGTAGGCTTCCAAGTGAGAATGTGGACTTCCCATAAAGGGATGGTTTTAAGAACAGGTTGGACAAATGCCTGTCAGGAATGGTCTAAGTATACTTGGTTCTGCCTCATGCAGGGGCATGGACTAGATGACCTCTTGAGGGTCTTTCCAGCCCTATAATTTTATGATTCTATGGGCTGGATTTCCCAGCCAGACTTATCTCCCATGACATGCTGCAAGGTTCACCAAGAGAGGAGAATGTGGTGCATCATGGGGAATGTAGTTTGGTCAGGGAGCCTAGCCTATAGAGGAAAATAGGTGCATTTGGGCATTTCCAAATTGAAGTACTTTGTTTTTTGGCTGAAATATTTCAAGTTTTGATTTTTCTGTTTGATTTTTCTGTTTCTAACCAGTGCATAGACTTTAAGGTCAGAAGGGACCATCATGATAAAATATTCTGACCTCCTGCACATTGCCGGCCACAGAACCTCACCCACGCACTCCTGAAATAGATCCCTAATCTCTGGCTGAGTTACTGAAGTCCTCAAATAATGGTGTAAAGACTTCAAGTTACAGAGAATTCACAGCTCTACCTGTGAGTCTTAGAAAAATGCCAGGCTTGGAAATACCTAAAGTTTAGCAATCAGTTTTAGGCTCTCCTCAGTTACAATTGATTTCATTATGTTGGTGCTCTGATACTGTGGTGATGGGATACCACCATACAAGTGATTGTAAATAAAAGTATTCTTGGATCACTACTTGCATCTGAAGGCAAAAGAATTCATATTATTTTAATTTAGAGGATGAATCTTTGATTCCTTAAGCACTATAATATGTTCTCTAATAAATAAATCAGCACAGATATGGATTAATAATAGATGCCATATTTCACAACATCCTACATTATTCAGGTCTCTCTCTCCCTTCCCCCCTGCACTACTTTTCTTTCCTGTGACCCCCATGCCTCCCACTTCTTCCTTCCAGGCTCCCTTCTCTCTCCTTGCCTCTTTCCTTTGACTGTTTTTTTTGTTAGTAATATTAGAGCTTGTGAAAGTACAGCTAAAATTTGAGCAATGCTGTCAAGTAAAAACAGATTTTTGTTTATTTCATCATCAAAAGAAGTTCAAAAGAAGTTCCTGGAGTAGAATTCAAGACAGAAGATCACACTAATTAAAGTATGAAATAAATATTCATTGCAATATGCCCTAATTGCTTTGAATTTTAGAGCATTTTTCCCTGATACATGCTTGTTTAAAAGATGAGTCCTTAAAATTCAGATGTTTAGAAAGGGCTGGTAACAAGTTCTTTCTTTGCTGTCTCTCAGTGCCAAGGAAGGAACGTATCTTCAAAGCATCTTGACCTTTAGAGTTTCAATCAAGGCCCTGTATCAAGGAAGTAGTCTGGGTTGGCCTCCCAAACTTTCCTGTCCTCTTGAGATTTCTACTACTTTCCCCACACTACCATAGTCCATATTCTCTGAGGATGATCCCAAAGTATATAAAAATTTTCAACAGTTTCAACTAAAAACTATGAAGCTCTCCCTTTAAGAAAGAGATTAAATCTAACAGAAACTAGTATATAGATATATTTCCTGGAATCTCTAAGGGTGAAGACAAATAGCCCTCAGACTGGCTGGCCAAAATGTAAACAATCTTTAACTTCCTTCCGGTAAGGTATGAAAAGGGGAGTGTTACTGGTTTTCAAGCAGGGGGAAAGGGTAGAGCAAGGCTGGGGCAGAGACAGAAGTAGTAGGAGGAGAAGGAAGTTAGAGTTTTCCCATTTATAATTTTGAAACACTATTGTGATGAAAGGCATTAAATAAATAAATGAATGGAGATATCCTATCTCTTAGAACTGGAAGGGAACTTGAAATGTCATTGAGTCTAGCCTCCTGCCTTCACTAGCAGGACCAAGTACTGATTTTGCCCTAGATCCCTAAGTGTCCCCCTCAAGGGTTGAACTCGCAACCCTGAGTTTATTAGGCCAATGCTCAAACCAGTGAGCTATCCCTCCCCTTACCAAAAGTATCTGATAGTTGTTGGCACCTACAGCTACCGCTGAAATAGCCATTCTGTGCACAGGTATTAAACTGGTCCTGGACAGCAATCTTACGAGGCAGTGGTTAGAATCTATGGGTGCTGCTGCTGCCATCAGCTACTGAAGCGCCTTCTTTGTATGAGGTGATAGAACTATTTCCTTTACAATCAGAGATCTTTCATTCAGCGTGGGCAGATTCCTTGCAGCTGGACCTAATTCTTCTCTTACCTACACTTATGCACTAGTGTAAATAAAGTGGAATTTGGCCCCATGTTTTTGCCTCAATCCCCTAACTTTTTCCTAAGCACTATTTCTAGGGAAGGCATTAGATTATCAGCCAACCAGAATGTTAGATTTGTGGTATATAGCTGTATATTAATTGTCTCCCTCATTCATAGCCACAACAGTACCTGCTTTGGAAAGTAGCACACTTTGCTGATCTATAGATCAAGAACTTTAAAACTCCTGTTATCTTGCAGGGGATTTCTTTCCCTGCAGGGTAAATTCCCTTGAAAAATGGGATGGAGAGGGGAATAGAGGGGAAAGGGAGGAAAAGAGCTCTATTTTATTTTTCTTTTTTAAAAGAGGCTCTGTTTTTTTAAATTCTTAAGATTTTCCATCCTACACAATTTAACATAAACCCACTTCCGGTGCCATACTCATTCCCAACATTTAATATTTGTCAGTAGTGTTTTAATGAGAAAGTTAAAGTGTCCTTTTATATAAGTAGGGCCCTACCAAATTCAAAGCCATGAAAAACATGTCATGGGCCACAAAATCTGGTCTTTTGTGTGCTTTTACCCTATATTATACAGATTCATGGGGGAGACCAGTGTTTCTCAAATTGAGGGTCCTGACCCAAAAGGGAGTTGCAGGGAGTCACAAGTTTATTTTAGGGGGGTCGTGATATTGCCACCCTTACTTCTGGGCTGCCTTCAGATCTGGGCAGCCACAGAGCAGCAGCTGTTATCTGGGTGCCCCACTCTGAAGGCAGCGCCCTACCAGCAGCAGCACAGAACTAAGGGTGGTAATACCATACCATGCCACCCTTACTTCTGCACTGCTGTCTTGGGAGCTGGGCGGCCAGAAAAGTGGCAGCTGACTGAGGGCCCAGCACGGAAGTATGGGGGGCAATACCATACTATGCCATCCTTACTTCTGTGCTGCTGCTGGTGGTGGCTCTGCCTTCAGAACGGGGCACCCAGCCAGCAGCCTCTGCTCTTCATCCGCCCAGCTCTGAAAGCAGCAGTGCAGAAGTAAGAGTAGCAGTACCACACCCCCCCACTACAATAACCTTGCAACCCCCCCACAACTCCATGGAATTGGCCCCAAAGGACATTAGCATGGGCCAGAATCTATCCTTAGAATTTCGAGGAAAGAAAGAAATTATCTCTCCAGCATGGTA